AAGAGGAAGGATGCAGCAAGGACGTAACGATGCAAAATTGAAATGGCAGAAAAGACACGCTTGAGTCGAGACCAGAATTTCAATAGAGCCCAGGGCTTCCACCGGCAAAGACTTCCATTTCGTTTTCTTTTAGGAGTGTTGCTATGACAAACTAAAGCCAAAGCAAGAAAGCCGAACCTGTTAAGGAGATGTACATTAAGTAGACTGTATTTAGTCTTACATATTTTAAAGTCCCACTCAAATATGCATATATATATTTTTTTTTTTTGTAGGGAGCAGACTCTTAGCTTTAAGGACTTTCTTGTTAAAAACCATTAACAACCGCACAGGAGAACATTAAATTGTAGGACAAAAATCTGCCACTGACGTTATATATCAGAACCTGTTTGGCTGCAATGCAACTGTGAGTCAGTAATTGCGATTGGATCAGGTCCTGAATGCACAGAGGTTCCCACATGAATATTTAAAATAACAATTTAAATACATTCATGCTTATAAAAATTCACTGTTTGGATTTCTTATACCTCAAGACATCCTGATACTACAAGATGGTCGATGCTCAAAACTGTTAAATAAACAGTGAAAGCAGATACAAGAAAAATAGAGAATTGATTTACATCAGGCAGTAGAGCCCAACATTTCTGAGCTACCTCTAAAAAGGCTACATACATAAATGCTTATCATTAAAAAATTATTTATTTTGGTTAACTAAAAACTTTTATTGAGTACATATGAAAAAAAACACTCAAAGGAGGCAAGGAGTTTTGAAACTAAGGCAGAGAAGCTCAATATCTTTGATTATTTATCAAAAGCAAGCACATACATTACCAAAATAATTTCTATCTGTAACTTGGAGGGAGGCCATCCCATCTTTAGTATTGTTATAAAACATGGTCCACACATTTTAGAAATTAGCTAAATAAAATCTTTAATATTTACAACAGTACAAAGACAATTGATTCAAGATGGCTAAACAACATCACGACTGTCAGATACTCATAATGTCATTAAATATAATCTTATTTATTCTGTACAGAAAGAACTGCTATGCAAAAATAAGCAATGAATAAGATTTATCAAGGCACTAATAGGACTTGAGCATATAACTGCTCTTTATGCCTTTGAAAATCTCCCCAAAATATCCTTTAAAAAATTCTACAACAACTGTCAGTCTTGCCAAACACATACAAAGTCAGGCCTCAAAAACCATGAAATGGGCTTACAAATCAATAATAAACATTATGTAATTTTTATTTGTGTTCTGGTTTGAGCCTCTCAGACACATGGATCACATTTTCCAAGCATTTCTCAGTAACTTTGAGAAGTAGAAACTTGCTATTAAAAATAATGAAATCTGAGATTCTCACATGATCATTTGACTCCAAAAGCAACAGCTTTAAAAAGATAAATACCACAAGACTACAAATAAAACTGCACAGTTTGGTAAAACTGAGCTATGCATTAAGTTATTAAATCTCCTGAAAAGAAAAGGAAAGGAAAGGAAAGGAAAAGAAAAAAAGAAAAGAAAAGAAAAAAAATCAAACTAGATTGCATGCCAAGGACACTTTTTCCACTTCCTGGAAGAATTAATTCTAGAAAGTTTCAGCTACTAGATGCATATTATTAAACACTGTAGCTTAAGCACTGTCAGTAAATAACTTCACCAAAGAACAGCCTTTATATGTACCATTTCTGAGTTAAAGATTGCATCAAGAGGACTGAATAAGCCGGGGGAGTCTGGAACAAGAGACACTTTCACTTCTCACTGCTTCAAATACAGCCCATGTCAACCATGACTAAGTGCCAACCATCTAATAGCTGTTACACAGACCATATAAAATGAGTTCTGTGCAGTCCCGCTTCATTTTCAATTAGGACAAAACCTCAATACAGGTGTCAGCTCTCACTAGAAAGGGTTAAATCTCAGCAGAGAGGCTAAATAAAGAAGTTTGCAAGCTAAGTTACTATCTCCCCCTCTGAAATGGCCCATCCAGGATATGACTGAAGCATATTAGGAATGTGGTGGGAAAAGCTGCAGGAAGGGTAGGGGCCTGGAGTAAAAGCTACTGGTCTATTTATTCAAACAGGCACATAACATGCAATGCCAGTAGCTTTCCCAGACTACCCAACGCTATTTGTGCGTGAGCCACCTCTCCGGAGATGTTATTTTAATTTCCCTATTCATTTCTTTTTTCCCCTGTCAGCGTCAATTTGCTATCCAGCTGTGAGGATGGTAAGGGCTTTTTGAAGTGCAGAGCCATGAAAGCTAGGAACTAGATAAACAGATTTCACATAGGATGTGAAAGACATAAGACATGTCATGGAGTGCATACCATCAGCTAAATGTTAAAGATCACATCCAAATCTCACTTACCATAATCATATGCCCCATGGAGTGACCCAATAAGGATTCTCAGAGCCTCACTTGCTCACCTTCTGAGGCACCCACAGAACGTAGTAAAATTGCAACGTTTAAGCATGAATATTTTTTCCAAGTAAGTTTCTAAAATGAACTATTTTCATCATAATCCATTACATTAGCACAGTATAAAATTATCACCATACTGTATACACAATCTGCAGTTAAATTGATATATTCCTTGTTAAGAAAGAAACTGGTTAAACTTATAAAGGCTGTTTTTAAATATACGTCTGTGTTACCTTTCAGTTCATACTGGAACAAGCCAAGGAAACTCCTTTTTCTGTTCTGTACGGTCTCTTAAGTATTCTTCCATGCTTATTTTTTAGACTAACCCTAACTTTCAGTTCATGCAATGGATCATGAATGCAGAATTTTCTCTAAAAACTCTTGGTGAAAATATAACATTTCATTTATTTACTTACTTACTCACAAAGCTGCAAAGCTTTTCTTCTTCAGTGAAGTGTTCTTTAGCAAACAATGTATCACCTATTGTAATTATAAAAATCAAGTCTGTCCAGTATAAATAAAAACATTTTCGCAAGGGAAGAGCAAGGTTTTTAAAACTTTAAAAAAGTTGTTCATTTTAAGAGGTCTTCCCCAGAGAAAAGCATTTCCCCCCCCCAGATAATACTGAGTTTCTCAAAGCAAAGTGACATTCAACAGAAATCAAAGCAGCCATGTAAGCCTAACCACCTCTACCTATTTTTGGGGACTTTTAGGCTAGCAATTTAAACATTTTTTTCCACAGGATGCAACCATATCAACATAATTAAACAACTGCACACATGAAATACAAAAATAGATTTTTAAAGCTTAATTTTTTAGATTTTGACCTCAGTATAACTAAGGTTCCATAAAACCTTGAAGTACTTCCATTTCCGCGGCATCATGTGAAAGCCTGGACAGACCTTCAATTGTGTGCGAAATCCCCGAGTGTCACTGCTTACTATAAACTCTGGAGTCCAATGCAACTTTCAGATACTTTCCACACATTTGACACTTATTAAAAAACACAGTAAAGACATGAAGAAGCATCTGATATTCCATAATTTACTGCACAATAACATCTACAAAGTTAAATCAAATCTTAACAGAATGGTTTAAAATAATTTGCAAAATAAATTAGACAAAGAAGGGTTCCTGAAACTCTGTTCAACATAAAACAACCACATATGTTAAAAACACAATAGAAATTATTTTTTTTATTTATTTTGTCCCCAAATGAAACAGGAAGCCAGACCAGAAAATCCTCTGGACTCCTGTGAAGATGAAAATAGGAAGGATCTGCCTCATGACCTCCAGAAAGACGACTGCAGAGAACCTTTTGGTAAAGGTATTTCCTGCTTCTGCAAACATTTCTGGAGGACAAAGGAAATAAAACAAAAACCAAACAGTTCTTTTAAAACCAGTGAAAGCAATTCCAAAACAATAGGAAAAGTACTGACTGCATTACGGAAATTTCCACAACCACCATCAGGGAAACAATATAGTCAAAATGCACAGAAAACTCTACCCAGAAAGGCTGCTATAAATGCAGAAACACAAACAAATACCATTAACCAAATGTGACCATTTTAAGTTGGCCAACTGAATGATTTTGAATAAACAACTGGATTTATGGTCTACTCATTAAACACTGAAAAGACAGCTCAAACAGCTCAGAATACTGCATGCCCAAATTGCTAAATATATAAATAATTTGTAATGATTCTGTATTCATCTAATGCAGCTTGCAACAAAAACCTTTATCACGCAGTTCATATTTGTAGAAGTTTCATTGTATTATGTTTGAAATGCAATTAGAGAAACAAACTCAAATTTATAACCTAGTAAGGAATCCATCTCTAATTTATTAAATATTTCTCTTCAAATTTGTTTTGAGAAACTCTTGCTATATCTATCACACACTCCCTCTTTAAAGGTTCAGTTAGTAAAAATAGCTGTTTTAAAACAATAACCTCACAAACAGATGGTAAGTGAAAATGTATTAAGGTCAGTCAATATCTGTAAAGCTCTTTCAAAATGAGAACTATATAGATGTTAAGTACTTAACACCTTTGTAAAACCTTTCTTCAAAGAATGCATACATTGAGTATAAAGCTAGGCGGGGTTGTGCAGTATAGTCCAAAAGTCTACTCTAAAATTATTGGATAATTAACTTATTTGCTCACATGATATCTAATCTGTGCAGCAGTCCCCGTGAGAACATGGAGGCCCAGCTCCTATAAAATACAATGACTCAGCACAGCTGTAAATCCTGAGTTGAAGTTTCTCCTCTCACCGCAACCACCATCCCAGAGGACATCATTGAGTAACTGAAAGAATTTTCTTGTAGAATCACACCCATTCAAAAAATTTGAGGGGGTGGAGAGGGTGAATGGAACATGTTTTGGAATCAACTATGATGACAGCTGAATAGACTAAGTAAGAAATCATATAAAATCAGAATGGACCAAAAAGTCCATCATTTTTGGGGGGAGGGGGGAAATCAGGAGGCATCAGGAGCCTTGCTGACTGAACAAGACATTTGTAAGAGGATGGGGGAAAGGGAAATAAACCCAAATACAAAGCATTTTACCTCCAAGAACTGCTTGAATCGCATTAAAGAACCCATCTGTCCAGAGCTGGTGATTGCTTCAATCCTGCAGAGAGATGAACAAGACTGAGCACCAAAAAGTAAAACCTTAAAATAGGATAGAAGAATTTAAAAACAGAGAGAGTGTCATGACAATTATAAGAGAAGATGAACATTTTTTTTTATCAGTCATTAGGGACACTAACATGGGTAGATCTAAATACAAATGCAAAAGCATCTAATCCTAATGCAAAAGTGAAAGTTCCATCATTAATTTTTCAGGTGTCTAATTACAAGTTTCTTACCTGGGAAAATAGTCTTCGCGAATAAGGAGCATCATTTTCCAGAACTGTACCTGGTACTGTTTCATGAGAGCATTGCCAGACACCTATGGCACAGAAAGTCACAGGGGCATGTGAACATCAGGTTTCAAACATGGGAACTATACTCATGAAAAAGACTCATTTATACGCTGAAAGCAAAATGCTTGAGAATTCATTCAGTAATGGCTGCCTGTACATTGCATCAAACTCCAGGAAAAATATCTGGACCCAACATCAAACAAGGAAAACTACTAAGGCTGCTTAAAGACATTTAAAACAAACAAACAAACCAACCAACCAACCAACCCCCACCTCCCCAAAAACAGCACTCCACTTTAAAATCATGGTGCTCCTGCGTCAAGCCCAGCACATGCGTAAAACAGGCATCACATTAGTTGGACCTGGCTTGCCTGATGCCTGTATAGATTGGGTGCTTTAGTGGGGCTTTTTGGCGCTTTTATTTAATAGCTGATTCAATCAGCTATTAGATAAAAGCGCCATAAAGCCCCGCTGAAGCACCCAATCCATACAGATGCTGCGGAGCCGGGTCCAACTAACGCGCTGCTGCTTCTAATAAAGTGTGTTTTTTGGGGAGGAGGGGTTTAACATCTGTAAGCAGCTTAATTCTATTAGAGCCCAGAAATAGTGATGCTCCTTTCTGAAACGCCAAGATTGAAATGCCCATCTGCAGTAATAGGCATTTTGTTACATTTGGCAGAATTCAATTTTTCTTTTTTAATAATTCCAATGGCTAAAAATCAATGATTATTTCTAAGCATTTTATTTTTTATTTTTATTGATTTAAATTTTCAGGATTGCACAAAATTAGGGGTGTGGGGGGTAGACAATTTAGTAATCACAGTATGCTGTTAAAAGTTGTATAAAATAATGTTAAAATATATATAAAAATAATAACCATAAATCAAGAAACTATACCTGATCACGCAGGAGCTGGGCCAGGCTTGGCGGGAGTTTGCCCCCTGTTCTGATCATACAGGGGTGAGGCTAGGCGGGCTCACTGAGAGTTTGGTGCCAAATCCCCAGCTGGGACCTGGGTAGAGTGAGCAGCTAGCAGCACTGGGCTCCTGACTGCCAACAGCCCTGCCCCTTCAACTACACCCCTTCAGCACAGCCCTACTAGCATGACCATCAGCTCTTGCAGCAGCTACTCAAGCTGCCGCCAGAGGAGCAGTTCACAGGTGGCACAGCACGGCTCACCCCTCCCCCCCTGCAGCGGCTGCCATGTGAACATGTGGTGCCCCTTGCCTTGCATTTCCTTTCCCCATCCCAAATTTTTTTTATGTTGCTTTTCTATAAATTTCAATGATTACTGACAGAAATATTTCTCTTTTGGTCTGCAATTATCACGTACAGTCAACCTCTGCCCATGTTTATCAATTAAAAAAAAAAAAAAAAAAAAAAATCAAATACTGCCAAGCCTACATTTTGTTTGGGGGGGGGGTTGTGGTGTGTGGGGTGGGGGGGGGGGGGGGTTGTCGTCGTCATTGGTTTTTTTTGTTTTTAGTATTCCTGTATTTTAAATGTCACATACTCTAAGGTGAGGAAACTCACCACACACATTCCCATCCCACCATGTCATCAGCACCTTGTTTCCTTATCACTGCCATGCACTTCCAGTATGCCCTCTTGGAGATTCTCTATAATCATACTCCCTGCCATCACCTTCTCAAATCTCATTTTTTTTAATTTTTAGCTTGCTCGCTAGGTTCATGCTAGAACACACCACTCACCTCTAAGAAATCAAAGAGAAGGGTAGCCGTCACATCAGCCAGAGGCTCCATGTTCAGCATCTGAGCGAGCCAGCGCCATCCATGATTCAGCCCATGAGGGTGTGTCTGAAAGAATAAGAAAGCTACTCACATCTGGCAAAAAAATGCCACCGCATCAAAAACGGTCAGATTTTCCCCACATTCATCTTTCCCAACAAACAGTTATTCTAGGATAGCTTTTTGTGCCAATTTGGTTTTTCTGTTATAATAAGAGCTCTACAAGAATTATAGAGAAGCAGGAAAATCGCTGGGCTATAGCTACATTATAGACTTAAGTCAACACAATTATGCTGATCAGAGCTGCAATGAAGGATGAAGCCAGGCTGACAGTTGTATCAGAAGCTTACATGTGACATAATGCAGCACCAGCAAAACTGGCCTTTTACTAACAGAGGTCGTTTTATCTAGGAGTGTGTAAATGTCAACTACATAGTTATGAAGCAAAGCAGATTTAGGGCACCTATACACGTGCTGAAGCTCTGCTCCGATGCGTGCCAATTAGTATACATAGAGTCTGTGGCAAGTTTGCTGGAGCGTGCAAATTAATGCCTTCCAGCAGCCTCCGCATCTCATGTAAGCACCCTTGCAGCCATTTTGAAACGCGGGGATGCCGAGTACACAGTATGCTGCAGGCACTTTAGTGTGGCTCTCAGAGCTGCTCTAATAAAAGCCCCCGCTCCAGAGCACGTGTATAGATGCCCTTAGTGGTATAGTTGAATCTAGGTTATGGGTCCTTTGCCAGGAGAACATGCTGGCATTC